CATTTTCCAAAATAACGACTTTCCATATTGTTTGTTTTGTGAAATTTTTCTTTTAAAAGATGGGTGGGCCGGGCGCAGTGGCTCACGCCTATAATCCCAGCACTTTGGGAGGCCTAGGCAGGTAGATCACAAGGTCAAGAGATTGAGACCATCCTGGTCAACATGGTGAAAACCTGTCTCTACTAAAAATACAAAAAAATTAGCTGGGCATGGTAGTGCGTGCCTATAATCCCAGCTACTCAGGAAGCTGAGGCAGGAGAATTGCCTGAACCCAGGAGGCAGAGGTTGCGGTGAGCCAAGATCATGCCATTGCACTCCAGCGTGGGTAACAAGAGCGAAACTCCATCTCAAAAAAAAATTAAAAAAATAAAAGATGGGTTGAGGCCGGATGTGGTGGCTCATGTCTGCAATCCCAGCAGTTTAGGAGGCCAAGGTAGGCAGATCATTTGAGGTCAGAAGTTAAAGACCAGCCTGGTCAACATGGTAAAACACTGTCTCTACTAAAAATACAAAAATTCGCTGGGTGTGGTGGTGGGTGCCTGTAATCCCAGCTATTCAGGAGGCTGAGGCAGGAAAATCATTTGAACCTGGGAGGCAGAGGTTGCAGTGAGCTGAGATGACAGCGCAAGACTCCATCTCAAAAAAAAAAGAGATGGGTTAGGGGCGAGAGAGATAACCTCAGTTTAGCTTATCGAATGCTATACTAATCATTTTAACTACAGTTTACCAGAGACTTCAAAATTTGATTACTGCTCCCCTCGCAAAGATAAAAATCTAGCACAGAATTAATTCATGCCAAGATGTCAGTATTGGTATTCTTTAATAATAATCCCAATCTGGGGCTGGGCATGTTGGCTCACACCTGTAATCCCAGCACTTTGGGAGGCCAAGGCGGGTGGATCACTTAAGGCCAAAAGTTCAAGACCAGACTGGCCAAGATGGTGAAACCCCATCTCTACTAAAACTACAAAAATTAGCCAAGCGTGGTGGCATGTACCTGTAGTCCCAGCTACTTGGGAGGCTGAGGCATGAAAATCACCTAAACCCAGGAGGCGAATATTGCAGAAGGCTGAGATCACCCCACTCCACTCCAGCCTGGACAACAGAGTAAGAGTCTGTCTCAAAAAAAAAAAAATCCCAATCTGACCCTCAACAGCTTTGTGACACTGGACATCTAGCTTCTGTGTGCACTAGTTCCTCATCTACAAAATGGGGTTAAAAGAATTAAAATTATATAGTTAAAAACTATATAATTACTTCATGGGTGTGGTAAAGAATACATGAGATTATGTGCTTGAACCATGGTAGGTATTCAATAAATATTTGTTGAGTGAATGAGTAAATAAATTGATGCCATAAAATGCTTAAGATAGTGCTTGTCACATAGCCAATGGCTAACAATATCAATACCACACCAGGCCAGGTGGCTCACACCTGTAATCCCAACACTTTGAGAAGCCAAGTCAGGAGTTTGAGGCCAGCCTGGCCAACATGGTGAAACCCCGTTTCTACTAAAAATACAAAAATTAGCTTGCACTGTAGTTCCAGCTACTCGGGAGGCTGAGGCAGAATTGCTTGAACCAGAGAGGCAGCGTTACAGTGAGCCAAGATCTCACCACTGTACTCCAGCATGGGTAACAGGAGCGAAACTCCATCTCAAAAAAAAAAAACAAAACAAAAAACACAATTACTAATTTACCCGATAATCTTGTTATACTTTCAAAATAATCGATGATTTAAAATACACAGTAGGTACCTCCTAAAAAGTATGTACACTTACCACTTAATTTGAAATACATACTGAGTTAAATCAACTTAGTTGCTACTAATTTAAATTTGCATTTAAATTGGCTTACAGAACATAAATTCCTCTCCTTTAACACGAGGAAGAATAACTACTGAGAGAGCTTACCGACAGATCAGACAAAGCAGCTTTAAGCAGATTTAATTGGCTCAAGATTTTCATTGTTGACATCAAAACGTTAGTCAACACAATAATTCAAATAGAGTACTACCTAGTGTCTCATTTCTGTTAGTAACTCCAATGTGAGCATTAAATAAGCACTGATTAAGCATTTCTTCCAAGAAGGAAAACTGAATAGTTCATTCTACGCCAGTGACAAGTTCCAAAGGAGTATGTTCTTTGTGGCATTAGGACTGGACTCCTGTACTTCACACCTTAATAGTCTCTATATCGCCTGAAGCAGTTGGCGTACTCCAGGCCTTTAGATTAGAGAAAACACTAAGCAGGATTCTAATAAAAAAAAAATCCATGTTAATAAGCTTAAGAAATTAAAATTGCTACCTATACATAAATATCATCTATCGACCATCAAAAACTCTGAGGATCTACTATGTACCAGTGAAAAGAACTGAGGAGGGCATTAGCTAAAACAAGAAGCTTCCAGTCAAATTAGGTAATTAAGATATTAATGGAAGCTGGTCAAGTTAATCAAAGAACTGAGGAGGGCATTAGCTAAAACAAGAAGCTTCCAGTCAAATTAGGTAATTAAGATATTAATGGAAGCTGGTCAAGTTAATCAAAAATATGAGGGGTACTGGTATTACAAGCTACAAGATTTTTGAGAAAATAAGAAGTTTTTGCTACAACTAGATAAATTAAGATATGTGATAGTGTGACTTTCCATGAACATGAGGTGGTATGGGCAATAAATGCTATAAAATTTTAGAGAAGAGATTAACTGTTGCAAAGTCACCATAGACTTCAAAGAAAGAGAACAGAGCTGAGTCTTGAGGGGTGGAAAAGATTTAAATAGTTAAACAGCGTAAGAGAAAACGACAAAAGAATAGGAACAAAGATGCTGAATCGGAAATATGGTCATTAAATATTTGTTAAATGCCTACTATACATCACTCACTGTGTTAGGTACTAGATATACACTGGAGAACAAAACAGATGAGTTCTCTCCTTTCGTAGAATCTAGTAATATAGATTATTATCTATAGATAATAATCATGCACACAGATATATCATTATAAACTGTAGTAAGAGCTATGAAAAGAGGCAACAGAAGCCAGTAATAGTGAATAATAAGAAAGGAGATGAGAGAAAGTATCCCTATTTATATATAAGCTCAGGCCTGAAGGCAGTCACGCAAAGAGCAAGGGAAAGAAGTGTTCAAGGAAGACAGAGCTATGCATACAAAAGCCCTGAGGTAGGAAACAGCTTGTTGAATTTAAAAATAAATAAGGCCAGTGGCTCACACCTATAATCCCAGCTATGCTGGAGGCAAAAGGACAGGTTGAGACCAGGAGTTTGAAACCAGCCTGAGCAATAGAGTAAGACCCCATCTCTAAAAATTAAATAAATAAATAAAATAAGAATAAAAATAAATAGCCGGGCATGGTGGCTCATGCCTGTCATCCCAGCACTTTGGGAGGCCGAGGCAGGCGGATCACAAGGTCAAGAGATCCGAGACCAGCCTGGCCAATGTGATCAAACTCCATCTCAACTAAAAAATACAAAAATTAGCCAGGCGTGGTAGAGGGCACCTGCAGTCCCAGCTACTCGGGAGGCTGAGGCAGGAGAATCGCTTGAATCCAGGAAGCAGAGGTTGCAGTGAGCAGAGATCTCACCACTGCACTCCAGGTGGTGACAGAGCCAGACTCTGTCTCAAAAATAAAATAAAATAAAAACAAATAAGAAGCTAACATAACAGAAGCATAATGGGCAATGAGATTGGCATAAGATGCCAATTGCTTACTCAAAAGGTATGCAGGGGCTGGGCTATACAGGGCATTATAGGTCAAAATAAAGAGCTGAAATGGCTGGGCGCAATGGCTCATGCCTGTAAACCCAACACTTTGGGAGGTCAAAGTGGGTGGATCACGAGGTCAGGAGTTCAAGACAAGCCTGGCCAAGATGGTGAAACCCCATCTCTACTAAAAAATACAAAAATTAGCCGGGCATGGTGGTGAGCACCTATAGTCCCAGCTACTCGGGAGGCTAAGGCAACCTCTGGAACCCGGGAGGCAGGGGTTGCAGTGAGCTGAGATCGCACCACTGCACTCAAGCCTGGGTGACAGAGTGAAACTCTTTCAAAACACACACACACACACACACAATTTGCCAGGTACTGTGCCAGGCGCCCATAATCCCAACTACTCAAGAGGCTGAGACAGGAGAATCGCTTGAACCCGGGAGGCAGAGGTTGCAGTGAGCTGAGATCCAGCCTGAGCAAGAGTGAGATATCTCAAAGAAGAAAAAGCTGAAATTTGGATTTTATTCCAAATCCAAAAGAAAACCACTAAAACTTGTTGCACACTCACACTAGTGTTAAATAAAAGGAGCCAGACCAAAAATTATACTATATGATTCAATTTTTACAAAGTACAAAAAAAGAACAAAATAATGTATGCTGTCAAAAGTCAGGATGGTGATTACCCTGGGTGGCAGACAGGAGACAGGAACTGAAAGGGAACTGGATGGGAGCTTCTAGGTACTTAGTAACGCTGTTTCTTGATCTAGGTGCTGCTTACATAGGTATATTCAGTTTTCAGGGAAAAAAAATTATCAAATTCTACTTTCACATGCACTTTTCTGTATATGCATTTTTTTCCTCAAATTCACGTTGAAATCCTACTGTACATGCATTATATACTTCAATAATAAAGTTTTAAACATAACATACATTTTTTTTTTTTCAGAGGGAGTTTTGCTCTTGTTACCCAGACTGGAGTGCAATGGCGCAATCTCAGCTCACCGCAACCTCCGCCTCCTGGGTTCAGGCAATTCTCCTGCCTCAGCCTCCCGAGTAGCTGGGATTACAGGCACGCGCCACCATGCCCAGCTAATTTTTTGTATTTTTAGTAGAGACGGGGTTTCACCATGCTGACCAGGATGGTCTCGATCTCTTGACCTCATGATCCACCCGCCTCAGCCTCCGAAAGTGCTGGGATTACAGGCTTCAGCCACGGCGCCCGGCCTCATAACATATGTTTTTTAAATATCATTCTGTCCAGACAAAAACAGGAATAGACTGCTCACTTCCACAGCACATATACTAAAATTGGAACCGTACAAAGATTAGCTGGTATCCTGCACAAGGATGACATGTGTATGTCATGAAACATTTGTATTTTTAAAATTTTTTTATAAAATAAACAGGTATAAAGGGCCACATGCAAATATGGCAGATCTTGAAGGAAAGATTACCCTGATAGAACCTTTCGGATGTGTATAAACTAGGGAGGCCGGATGCAGTGGCTCATGCCTATAATTCCAGCACTTTGGGAGGCCGAGGTGGGCAGATCAAGAGGTCAAGAGATCGAGACCAGCCTGGCCAACATGATGAAACCCAGTCTCTACTAAAAACACAAAAAATTAGCCAGGCATGGTGGCACGCACTTTTTGTCCCAGCTACTAGGGAGGCTGAGGAAAGAGATTCACTTGAACCTGGGAGGCGGAGGTTGCAGTGAGCAAAGAAGGCACCACTGCACTCTAGCCTGGGCTACAGAGCAAGACTTCTTCTCCCAAAAAAAAAAAAAAAAATGGGGGTGAGACGGTTAATTCAAATAGCCAGTGATTCAAGTACCATGTTTATAAAGAGTAAGTTCAGATTCAGTGGCTCATGCCTGTAATCCCAGCACTTTGGGGGGCAGAGGCAGGTGGATCACAAGGTCAAGAGTTTGAGACCAGCAACATGGTGAAACCCCATCTCTGCTAAAAGTACAAAAATTAGCTGGGCGTGGTGGCGGGTGCCTGTAATTCCAGCTACTCAGGAGGCTGAGGAAAGAGAATCACTTGAACCCAGGAGGCAGAGGTTGCAGTAAGCCAAGATTGTGCCATTGCACTCCAGGCTGGGCGACAGGGCAAGACTCCATCTCATAAATAAATAAATAAATGTTGGGGCCAGGTGCCACCCATGCTTGTAATCTCAATACTCTGGGAGGTCAAGGTGGGAGGACTGCTTGAGCCCAGGAGTTCGTGACCTGTCTCTACAAAAAAAAAAAGTTTCCTGATTAGCTGGGCATGGTGGTACACACCTGTAGTCCCAGCTAATCAGGAGGCTGAAGAAGTCCCTGAGCCCAGGAGTTAGAGACTGCAGCGAGCCATGATTGCCACTATACTCCAGCCCGGGAGAAAGAGCAAGACCCTGCCTCTCAAAAACAAAAGAAAGAAAGAGGCCAGGTGCAGTGGCTCACGCCTATAATCCCAGCACTTTGGGAGACCTAGGCGGGTGGATCATAAGGTCAAGAGATCGAGACCATCTGGTCAACATGGTGAAACCCCATCTCTACTAAAAATACAAAAATTAGCTGGGCATGGTGGTGCGCGCCTGTAGTCCCAGCTACTTGGGAGGCTGAGGAAGGAGAATTGCTTGAACCCAGGAGGTAGAGGTTGCGGTGAGCCGAGATCGCGCCATTGCACTCCAGTCTGGGTAACAAGAGCGAAACTCCATCTCAAAAAAAGGGAAGGAGGGAGGGAGGGAGGGAGGGAGGGAGGGAGGGAGGGAAGGAAGGAAGGAAGGAAGGAAGGAAGGAAGGAAGGAAGGAAGGAAGGAAGGAAGGAAGGAAGGAGACAGGCAGGCTGGGTGAAGTGGCTCATGCCTGTAATCCCAGCATTTTGGGAGGCTGAGGCCAGGAGATCACAAGGTCAGGAGTTCCAGACCAGCCTGGCCAGCATAGCAAAACCCCATCTCCACTAAAAATATAAAAAATTGGCCAGGTGTGGTGGCAGGCACCTGTAATCCCAGCTACTTGGAGGCTGAGGGAGGAGAATCGCTTGAACACAGGAGGCAGAGGTCACAATGAGCCGATCACACCATTGCACTCTACCCTGGCAACAGAGCAAGACTCCATCTCAAAAAAAAAAAATGCTGGGTCTGGGAAGGAAGTTGTGCAATACTAAAGGATTAACTATAAATTCCTTAGAACATAAGGAAGAATCTCTAGAAATTAAGAAACTAATAGATGAAAATAGCAATGCCTAAAAATGTTAGCAATGCTTGTTATGTTGTGGTTCATATTTTAATATGGTATTTTAAAGATCTTCAGAGGTCCCAGGCATTTTCTAAGATAGAGACAGAGACTTGAGCTAAAGCATACTCGGAGAAGGTCAATGATTTCAGAAATTATGAAAAGGGAAAAACAATCTTCCGAGCAAGCTTCAATTGCTACCTAATGTATTCTTCTCTTTGTGGAATATTACTTAAAACAAGTTAGAGATCAACACTAAGGATATTCTCTCATAGGTGGAAAGGGAAGGCCTTCAACCACTTTATAGCATCTCCACCCTTAAGTATTATTTGAACAACCATAATTCGTTAAGCACTTCTTAAATACAAACAAAGATGTTGAATTTTTCAGGAGCTACCATTTCAAAAGAAATAAAATAAAAAGTTCAACTTCTTAATAAATCTTTGAGTAACCTTTTCCCCAAAATGCATCTTCTGTCCTAAAAGTAACTAAAATCTAGTTTCTCCTGAATTTATTCATCTTTTCCCTGATCCCAATAAATGTCTCTCTCTCTTATTCTTCCCATTTACCTCACCATTAAATACCTAAGGTTTCCCTATTTCCTCCCAAGTTGGCCCACTAACACTCTAATATTCATTCTGATCTCACAGCATTGAATCTGAACATAAAAACCTCATAACATTCCCAGGGACAAATCTGCTACCCAATTCCTATGAAAGATAATACACAGTTTAGAAAAAAAACACAGTGGTGGTAATTATACAACTGTACACATTTGCCAAAGCTCATCAAACTATACACTTAAAATTGGTGAATTTTATTGTATGTAAATTACCTCACTAAAGCTGATTTTTTTATTTTAAGAATGCATTAAGGCAGTGCATGATGGCTCATTCCTGTGATCCCAACACTTTGGGAGGGGGACACAGGAGGATCCCCTAAACCCAGGAGTTCCAGGAGACCAGCATGGGAAACATAGGGAGACCTCATCTCTGCAAACAAACAAAAAAAAGTAAGCCAGGCATGGTGGCACACACCTGTGGTCCCAGCTTTTCAGAAGGCTGAGGTGGGAAAATCACTTGAGCCCAAGCAGTTGAGGGTGCAGTGAGACTTCATGACACCACTGCACTCAAAAAAAAAAGGGAATACATTCATTCATTCATTCATTCCATTTGCCATACATCTATTATATGCATCAAAGTTTATACCACATCTTTCAGCTTCGACTATCAGGGTCCTATCTACAGTGTACTTTACTCATAAATTGACAGTGTCCCTAAAAGCTGTATTACATTAAAAATGGTTGGTTCTGATAATAAATGTTACCTTAATAATGGCCTCTTTACACTGGAAGGACCATTAGCTATCCATCAACTTCCATTACATAAATGAAAATATATGATTACTTAAGTACTCTCCATTTTAACAGAAATGCTTCCATGGTAAGAAATAAGTAGGTCAGGCATGGTAGCTCACGCCTGTGATCCCACCACTTTGGGCTGGGGGATCACTTGAGGTCAGGAGTTAGAAACCAGCCTGTCCAACATAGTGAAACCCCGCCTCTACTTAAAATACAAAATTAGCTGGGCATGGTGGTGCATGCCTGTAATCCCAGCTACTTGGGAGGCTGAGGCAGGAGAACCGCTTGAACCTGGGAGGCAGCGGTTGTAGTAAGCCAAGATCGTGCCACTGCACTCCAGCCTGGGCAACAAGAGCAACACCATCAGAAAGAAAGAAAAGGAAAGAAAGGAAAGAAAGGAAAGAAAGGAAAGAAAGGAAAGAAAGAAAGAAAGAGAAAGAAAGAAAGAAAGAAAGAAAGAAAGAAAGAAAGAAAGAAAGAAAGAAAGAAAGAAGTAAGCACCACCCAGCACTGTGGCTCACACCTGTAATCCCAGCTCTTAGGGAGGCAGAGGTGGGAGGATAGCCTGAGCCCAGGAGTTCGAGACCTGCCTGGGCAATATAGTGAGACCCCATTCTCCACAAAAAGGAAAAAAAAAAAAGAAAAAAAGAAGTAAACACCTAGTGACAAACAATACATATCACTACTACAACTTTATGTTTGTCTTTTCACAAAAAAAAAAAAGCACCCTTCAAGAGCCTGCTGACAACACTGCTGAAAGAAAAGGCAATAGTACTGGAGAACAGACTTAATTGACTTATTCTAGGGCCCACAGTGACCCAGTCTGAGTCAAAGGCCAAAGATCTCATGATTCCCAAGGCAGTGGAGAGACAACCAAAGACCTGAGATTGAATTCCAGCTCCACTTCTTACTAGTGGTGTGTGTGAACTTGGGACAGTCACTTTACTTTCTGACCTTTGGCTTGTTCATCTATAAAACAGGGATGCAAACCGGGAGCAGTGGCTCATGCCTGTAATCCCAACACTTTGGGAGGCCAAGGCAGACAGATCACTTCAGGTCAGGAGTTCGAGACCAGCTAGCCAACATGGTGAAACCCCATCTCCACTAAAAATATAAAAATTAACTGGGCATGATGGCACGCACCTTTAATCCCAGCTACTCGGGAGGCTGAGGCAGGAGAATCGCTTGAACCTGGGTGGCAGAGGCTGCAGTTGGCCAAGATTGTGCCACTGCACTCCAGCCTGGGTGACAGAGTAAGACTCTGTCTCAAAAAAAAAAGGGGGGGGAATGCCAACTACCACCTCACAAAATTATTGGGAAGACTGTAAAATATATACCACCTAGCACAATTACTGGGCACGGAATAGGCAACTCAACGCTTCTTTTTCTTAATCTTAAGAAAATACCTCATAATCAAGGAAGGCTAATTAACAATCTGTATTATTAATTACTGGTCAACAATGAACCTGTGTTTGCTGCCTTCTTCATACTCCAACCCATTCCCATTCCCTTCCCAGCTCACTATTTCCAGAACTTTAGTTACTATGTTTAGAAAAGTGATTTAATTTTAGAAACCTGGAAAATTCTTCTAGGAGTAAATTGAGCAAAACCTTAATCTGCCCCCAGGGGAATTCTGAGCAAAACAATTATTTCTGACAAGAGAAGAATTTTCTACGGCAGTAATTCAATTTAACTACATGAATACTACCAAAGATGCAAACACAGTGACAGAAGGCAATGAGGAACATACCGTCCAGATTCCCCAAAAATAAATGTCCTCCTAAAATCCAAACCCCTCCCTCCCTA